GAGTGACATACATATATATATATATATATATATATATATACATATATATAATTAGACATCCGTAGCCAAAACCATTATTCCTTCAAGGATTGTTATGGCTCAGCTCCCCAGCACTCTCCATGCATCACTAAACGGGTACACTTTACACCCCTCTTTTTACATCCTGAATAAATCCATTCTTGAATACCCTCTAGGATCAGAGTTTCTTCGTCAATAATTAAGTTTGAATTTCTTATGACCTTGGACGTTTCAGTCTGTTCCTCACACAAAGCTACTATATGTACTTTTATGGTGTGTGTGTGTTATTTTTCATTTTGGAGCTTAACAGCCCCAGTCCTCCTTCACTTTTATTATATCAAAAAGAGTGGTCAGGATATAATAAAAAAAATTGTAGGGTGAGTAAATGGTCAGTCTTGTTTTTAGCTAAATTTCAGTAATTAAAATAAAGCTGAAATAAAATGTAAATATAAATTGTAAATATTATATGTTCTTTATATTCATATTATAATATTTTATATAAAATGTAAAACCTAAACTTAAACAACTTAAAAATTTGACTAAAATAAATAATTTCAAGCACTTAAAAGTACTAAAGTACTAATATACTAAAACTGAAATAAAAATAAATTAAAGCCAAGTAAAAATATATCTAAAATATCTAATAAAAATGCTATAATAAACACTGTGATGACAGATTTTTCATTTTTGGTTGAACTGTGCATTTAACTACCTTACTGTCCCAAAGCAGCTGGCTCACCTGTTTGAGTGGTAGTAGCATAAACTCCTCAGTCTTCGATACCTCTACAAAGTGTTGCAGGACATACTTATGGGCTGACTTGAGAAGGTCGCTGCAGGAGTGAGTGTCTGCAAAGCCACGGATGCCCAGGCAGTTTGAGGGGTCCAGCTGGCTGAGAAGGAATTTGCAGCAGGCATCTCTCACTCCGTTGAGCTGCAGGAGACTAGCTGCTGGCAACAGGGTCTGCTCGACGTATAGACAAGATACAGTGGGTGAAATGGAGGAAAACTAGAATGAAGTAAGTGAATCTTTAACATCATTAGGCTTTTTGTTTTGTGATCAATCATTTCAATAATAACCCGCACAATCGGGAGTTTTGCATGAATGCAAAAATGTTCCTCATGCAGATTTCGCAGATTTAATGGGCGTGAATTGGCTGCATTAACCAACAGAAAGCTGCTTGATTCGAATGGGACATCTGAGTGAATTTTTACATCATTACACTACTGACAACAATGGACTTTTTGGCAAAATTTCACTGAAAACGTTGCAGAAATTATGCTAACGTGACCGCACCTTTAGTCTAATGAGGTCAATTTCTTGTAAACTAGCCGCCACATATGCATTTGCTCTTTTGAAACCGCACAAGTATCAGAAGCCCTTCATTCGCAAAGATGCAAATTGTAAGCTTGCACAAACCATCTTGAACATCTCGTCTTGCTTAGTACCTCACAAAGCAAACAAGGTAGCCTGACAGAGTAATTGTGAGTGTGATATATAGAATGCACTTCAAAAGACACTAAAGGTGACATACCTGCACATTTCCCTCTCCTACTACAATTTCGGCAGTGTAGGCGTACTGTACCAGCTGCTCCAGAGCCTGAGGGTCAATGTCATGCAGGGTCACGTGGGTCTGACGGCTCTCTGACATCTCATCTGCACAGTCACAACACACAGCAGTTTATCTCAAACCGAGGCCCTTGCAGAACTCTGGTAGATTTAGGCAGTTTCCCAGGGGTTCAATGATATCGAAATGGCCCGTTCACACGTACAGTACAGCGGCCTCTGGAGGTCGCTGAGTGGCTGTATCGTTTTTGAAGCGGGTGTTCCTATTGCTGGATGCCCTAAAGTTATTGGTACTGCTCAACTGGCAATAGCTTTTGAAAATCTGATCACAAATGGAATGAACATCTGATCAGAGTTCAGAGACTTTGTGCTTTTGTACGCTAGCATCCTACTTGACGGCCATATTTAACCGTTATCAAACAGTAGATCACTGCCTGTACTCCCATTGGTTGTCACCACATTTTATCATTTGCATGAATTTTGCATAAACGTTGCTTGATTTTTATGTGTTGCCCACGTTCAATGATGTTCATGACACTGGAAATCACTGTATGAATGAACGAACCTTGAGACAATGTTGTTATTGCGAACTAAACCTATTTTTAAAAATCAATCTTGTTAATTAATACAAAGCTGAAACAAAATATAAATATTAGATGAAAAACTCAAAAAACCTAAATGAAAATCGGAAATGTTGCCATGGCTACTAATTGAATTAAAATAAGTACTAAAATTACAAAAGCTAATTCAAAATATTGTTAAAAAAAAAACTATAATAGTATATAAATAATACTAAAATAACACTGTTTGAGATTTATGACATCATTGATGTTAAATTAACATTCCACACAAAATAAACCACTAGATCGCTTAACTTGTATTTTCTAACTTCTTATTTTGCACTCCGTTTACACACAAACACAAAAAAAATAATATTTCCCATTGACTGTGTAGTTAACAAAGCTTATGTAATGTTATTTTAAGAAAGGAAAATATTTACTTTTGTGTTTTAAACCCACAATATTAACCACTTATTTCTATTCAGATATTATTTTTCATCATACTGTTGGAAAACATTTAGAGAAAATGTAAAAAATTGCATTCCCTATAAGAGAAATGCAGAAACTCAGAAAGTGTGAGAACAAATTAGTCCAGAGGTTGTAGTGTTAAGGAATTTAAGTTTTGATATGTAAAATGGAGTTTAAATCAGTGCATTGTTAGTAGGTCTAGTGTATGGTAAGTTCAGAATAGTCATGGCTCTGAAGAGCCCACACTGTCCTGACTCATACCATCACACTCTAGTCTGAGGTGCAGCGGGACTGACGAGCAATAGGAAAAACCAGGCACCTGCTGACCTGAGACCAGGGCAGGGAAGAGAATAAAGCATGGAAAAAACATTAGTTGATGACAAAAGGCTGGAAGGAAGGAAAGGCTTGAAAAGGAAGCTTATGTAAATAAACACTACACAATACACAATACACCTTAAAGACCATGTGAGGTCAAAATTAGTTTTTTGTGACTTTTAGTGTATGTGTGTTAGCTTTAAAATCATCTATATGGTAACATGCTTCACAAATTTCACAAAAATAATCTTTAATAAATATATGCAGAAATTAAACTTTAAGAATGTTTTAAATAGTAACATAGTATAAGACCTACTTGTAAACATGGCATGGAAGTATGGACTGCAGGAGGCCAGCACAACCTTGTGTGCCTTGATCTCCTTGTTGGCCACATGGAGCACAATGTCGCAGAGCAGGCCGCGCTGCCGCATGCGGTTCATGGACACAAAGGAGTCGTGGTAGTGGCGCTTAGAGTTGTGCGAGATGCTGTGGCCATCCCGGTTCAGCAGCTGCATACCCCCCTCCATCATGCCGGTGCTCACCGAGGCCTGCTGGAGCCTGGGCCTCACTCTAAGACACTAAAGGAAGACAGAAAAACACCCTATGAAATCAAGCATAGAGTTTTGTGGCTTTTAGTTCACGTCTATTAGCTTGAATGCTAACGCATTAGAAGTTGACAAAATATTTTTTTTAAAGATATACACATTTGAAATCTAAACTCTACAAAAAAAATATATATTGATGACTCATACTGCACTATTTAGATTTTTGTCCAATCAAATGCTCTTTAAAATGACAAGTCCCACCCCCTAATAGAGCGCAACAGTGCCTAAGCACTTTTTCAGTGGCCTAGGTTCTGGAAGTATTTCCACATTGGGATTTTAAAGAGTTATAAGCAATAAACCAAACCATCTAACATTACAAAATTTTATTTGCAGCAAAAAAAGCATTTAAAGTTTGGATAAAAAGACAAAGGTACAAGACTATGTACTTCCCTACACAACTACAGTCCCATGAAGCATTGTGAATGGAATATATTTGAATTAAAAATGATAGCTTCAACAACAGCATATCATCATATACCATCAATTAACAACCTCACAGCTCACAGTAGGTCTGTTTTTTTTAATCATTCATAAAATAAATTACTCTATGGAGAAAATAAATAGGATTTTTGCTTTCAGAACCAGGCTGCTGCACTCTACCACCTGCAAATGTTCCTGTCTTGACTTATTTCAATAGAAAAATAGTTAAAGTCAGGAAATAAAAACTGATTTCACAATGGTCTTTAAGAACTCTCATTCAAGCTACAGCTAATTATTAATTAGCTGTTAGACATGTTTAACGTCTGTGCATTACCTCTAACAATCTTAGAGTTATTCGGCAGGCTGTAAATCCATCTTAATTTGTGCTTTCTTGGTTCACATTTCCTTTCCATATAGCATAATGGTTGCTTCGAGGCATTATGAACAATGAGTACAGAATCACAATGGGAGAAGAGAGCCAGACTGAAGCGCTCAAGCATTAAATATCATGAAAATGATCACTTCAAAAATTCCCACTCATTTTACAGCTTATAGCTACATATGATTTGCTCCTCAATAGTCAGTGGCCTTTTCTAACTGGCCTGAGGCCTTGAAAGCTTTTTAAATTTGGTCTCTCATGTACATAAAGACTCTGGCACACTCACTGAATAAATAAACCGGCTGCTTGATTATAAAAATGAAACTGTGTTCCAGCTGAAAGGACCAGAGGTATGGAAAGGTTGGACCAGGACATGTCATGATGAGTTGGCCAGCCAGCTGCAAACATTCAATTCTCCATCAAAAGCATCACTATAAAAACCAAGGTACCTACGGTAACACGTGCTGGTATCTGTCATACACTTCACTTTGAGTGGGATGGAGCTGTGAGACATTTTAAAGGAGGGTGATAAATAGCAATCCAGTCGACAAAGGTGGGATTACAAGATGCCACTTCTTTGATAATAGTGTTGGTGTTTTAAATCAAATCAAGCATCCAGCAATGGGATGTTTTGATGAATAGAACGATTATAAGGCGCTGTTTTCCTAACAATACCACTCCAACTCTAAAGCATTACTCATGTTACTCCAAATAACAGACGACAGGTGAAACAGCATGAAAAGTGCATGGAGTCATAGGCTCAATATTACAGCCAGCAGTCGTGTGGCTGCCCACAAAATGGCTGTGGGGTTTCAGATATATAAATCCTTTAGTTATACAAAGCAAACATTGCGGTCTGAAACCTGAGGTCACTAATAAACTGTTTAAACATGCAGAAGAAATGAAACAGTTGACAACAGTTTTTTTGTAGTTTGGTAGGCACTCAGGATGGGGTTTCTATAGATGCCTCTGTGTGGCCCTTTAAAACAGTAACAAACTGTGACACTCCATAATAAAAGTTGTATTATGATGGTTCATTTTAGGCAATGATGCATTTATCAAGAGATACTCAATTAAAACTAAACTCCGTAACTCTTGTAACCATTGTAAGTCACTGCTACTAGAATAAAACTGTGCTCAAATAAAATAAAAATAAAATAATAATAAAATAAATCATATAACATAATAATACTATAATAATATGAAGTTCCTGAATGCTTCTTACACTGCTAGAGAAAATATACTTATTTTTATGATTTTTCAGTAGTAGCAATAGCTAGTAGTAACTGGTATTTGGCAGAAATGTGAGGTTCGGATTATACAATACATTGCACTTTTCTTCCTACATTCTAGACAGGTTGTTCCAGAGTTTACTGTACAGCTAAAGACAATCCCTACACACATTCCCAGTATCATTAAATCTGACTCAGCAAACTGTGTGCCATCCAGACAGAGCATCTCTCCCCTCCTCCTCTGTGCTATACACAATAACACTGAGTATAACAGCACTACCTGAACTGATGGACGCCTTTTCCTTTAGTTTCGTTTCTCTGCTTTATGAAGAATATTTTGGATTGAATCATAGAGTGCAGCGGTTGAGCATCAGAGTCCATATGAAAACTGCATAAAGCCTCAGTTTGGGAGCTCGTGTGGTGTTGACGTAAATGAAAGCCGCATGAGCGCTGGAGGCTGACGTCACTTTTTAAGGTCGCGCCGGATGTTTGTTTTTCTAATTATTTGGCTCTTAAACGTGGCTCTGGTGAAACTGCTCACATCCAAACAGAACTGAACAAGGTGTCGTCGAGCAATCTGGTAACGCCCCCTTTATAATCTTTAAAAGCTACAACACAATTCTCAAATCACACCTCCTTAACTAGTTAGCTAGTGATGGAAAGTCCGAATCATTTCCGCGAATCGGTTCCTTCTAACAGTTCGTTTCAAAGAACCGGTTCTAAATCAATTCCGCAATTATTTTACGTCACGACCTTTTTTACAGTCTACTATGGTCACGACGTAATTAGATTTACACAAGGTCCCTGACATCACCGCGGTGCATATTACATGCTTTGAATATTCCAAGTAAACCATATGTAGGCACAAATGTCTGTTAATTAAGTTACTTTTTTAGTTTTTTTTTTTTAGGTTTTATTAATACGTATGTTTTCTCTAATTTAAAAACAAAGTGTGAATGCTTAATCAATTTCATTCACTAGAAATAATCTTATCAGTTCACTCCGACACGTCCTGGAGAGAGGATTCTCAGTGAGTTTCTGACGCGAGAAACGATTAAGTGGGATTCGAATCGTTCAGAGTGGTTTGAACCGATTAATTGAAACGATTCGAAACTAAGACTCAAAACAACGATTCGTTCACGAATGGGAAATTGCTAAAGCTCATTGTGCATGTATAGGAAATAAACGTCTGCTGTCCACGTACATACAATAACAACACATAAAATCACACAAAAGTATATGTTGCATTATTTAACAGTACAATGGGAATCGCTTTGTGACTGAACTCACTGTCTTTGTTCAAAGGGGATACAGCGCAGACATACAGAGATCAGTTGCACTGACAGCTGACATGAAAAGCATCATTCAGCCCTCATAATTCAGACGCTTTATTAAACTACAGCATCAGGCATGGAGAAGTCAATGGTCAATGCGTGAGCTCTAAACATGACTCAGTTGACAAACTGATATCTGTACAAAGCACAACAATGCGATAGAGAAATTTCACAACACTGCAGCTTTGACAAGATGAGCATGTGTTTGCATGTGGTATATTTTTAAAAGTTAACAAATGTACTGATAAATAAATAAATAAATAAATAAATAAATGTTGCTTTTATTTTCAGCTAATTGTGTTGCAATTCGGTCTGGATGAGATCAGAATCCAAACTCACCTGCCGTCGTCTGTGTCTGATTGACAAGACTCGTTTCTTGCTGTGTAGCGCTCTCTCCAGTTTGGTCCGTGTGTGATGATTAATTTTGATGTATGTAGTAATTTATTTAGCCGTGCGTGGTTAGTTGACATGCTACATCACATGTCGCATCAAAACAGACGTCTGTCTCAGCCATAGACTGATCGGCAATATTAAACATTTTAATATTCTGTTTAATATGTCACGCCCACCTCAAATGTGTCTGGACTTTGTTGTAACAACGGTGCCAGTATGTATGCCTTAGAGAGGCTGTAAATCTGTATAGGTGGATTTCAGTTATTTGGTGAGTTATTTTATCTATTTTTATATTGTCAGTGGCTGGAAACATTCTGCTCTGGGCAAAAAAAAATTAAAAATCCACCCTGATTGTATCACCCACATGTAAAATAATCTGTTTATAATAATACTACCAAAAACATAAGCAAGCAAAAACATAGACATAATGACATTTAGTTAAAGGCACAATATGTAATTTTCGCCGCTAGAGGGCACGTATTCAAAATAAACAAATAGACAAAGGCGTAGTTTGATGACGCCGTGACTGAGTGTGGAATCATGGGCGTTGTCGTCTTCATCCCCACAGCCGAAGCAATCCGACGGGACTCGGGCAGAAATCATGTTCATGGATGAGCTAATGATTTATTAATGTAGTATTATGAAGCAGGGTGAGGCTGAAAGCCGTTGAACCGAAACGAGGCCACTGAATGAGCGTAACACACAGCTCGAAAGCAGCGGAAGCTTTTATTATGCCACAGTCGAGCGCTTCCGCTCCTTCCGGTCGTGCGTATGTGGGGGAAAAAAAGCAGCGCTGTTTTATCATACTAGATACATTTGAAAGTTCTGTTATAATGCTACTCTGTGCGGTCGTCACCGGTCTATTAAAACGCATAACATATTAAAGCGTCTTTGGTGTTTCCAAGTTTTCTACAAAACAAAACCGGAAACCGAGGTGTTCTGACGTCATTAGCAGGCGACACAATGACACTATGGACACGGTCCCTGTCACTAGTTAAAATTGCTTATTTCTCTGGATTTAAACATTCTTCGAAACATTTGGGATAATGTAAGTACACAAGTCAGCAAAATATATAACACTGTTCTAGTGGTTTTTGGATATTTTAATAAAAAAATCTTACATATTGTGCCTTTAAACGACTGTGAGGTTTCGTGTTTTGTTCTGCGTTTAACCTAACGTTAAACAAGAGACCAACTCATCTGAGCTCTCGAAAGCGGTGCGTTGTGGGTAATGCGTCCCTGTGCACGTTTCGTATCCAGCATGGCAGGGAAAAACAAGAGGTATGTTCCATTCTTAGCTATTTAACCTCGCATACATAATATTATATTAGTGCTTGAGTTAGAGAACATTGAACTTAAATGTAGATCGACTTGTCAGAGCTCAGTTCACTTCATACGACTCTTGTCTGATTATATATTTGACGATAGCTAACGTTAGCTGGTTGTAGCCACTGATGAGCTAAAAATTCAGCAGGCTCGGAGATCAGCATATATTAAACATTTATGAGGAGAACATGATCGTCTTGACAGTAAATATTTAGTAGTTAAGTCTGAACTGATTTTTGCATTTTCCACCACAATCAGCACCAAAATTAGTTTTGGAATAGTTATTTTGTAGTGTACTAAAGCTACATGTGCTTATTAAGAATTGGATGAATATTATGCTAATCTTCAGAAAATAAACTTTTGCTTTTGTAACTTCAGTATTCAGTAACTTTATAAATGTAATTTCTAAATCACATTCTCTACATTTTCACTTTACAGTGGAAGGGAAGTTGTCTAAATATGCTTCTAAAAAAATGTTTTTGCTAGTAAAAAAGCACTACGCATTAAAACATGAACAGCATTTTTGATAAAAGGCCACATTAATATTAAGAAAAATCTGTATTATTTGGGAAATATTTCGTTTCTATTACGTTACCGCATTACTTTTTTTACTCGCTGTAAGTGCTGTGATGTTAGATGCGTTATTTAAATGAAATTTTATTTTAATCAGTACATATATATCGAATTTATTGTTTTATGTTTTATAAATTTTATATATTTATATTAATCTATTTTTGTTTTAATCAAATGTAGCTATTTTAATTTTGTTTTTAATATAATTTTTTTTTACACTTGTTTTTGTCTGAACTTTTCCACAGACCCCCTAGCACTCCCTTGTCGCCCTTGGGGTCCCCGGACCCCAGTTTAAAAAACCCTAATCTAGAATAAAATACTCAAATACGTTTACTTTATGTAAAAGGGTGCTTTGTAAAACATTAATGTACAAGTACATGTAAACAAAACAAGCTAACTGAACAACATAACAACAAACAAACACAATAGATGTACTAGGGTAGGGACTAGCTGAACATACTTACTGAATGCTTTAGTGATGTGCCATCTATTTTTGTGCAGGAAATTGGAGGATCTCAGTGTGGATGAGTTCATGTTATCTGGGTTTGATTCCGATGAGGAAGATGCTTGTGAGGATGAGGAATCAACACAACAGAAAGGGAAGATGAAGAAACCTGCACCTCAAAAGACGTAAGTGTGGCCTTAACATTTTAATGGTAATTCCAGTGTCCCATTTTTATTCCCATTCTCTGCTACATTCTACAAATGTTTGCTGAGTATATGCTATTTAGGGGTGGGAATCTTTAGTCACCTCACGGTCCGATCCGATTCCGATTCTGGGAGTCACGATCCGATTCCAGAACGATTCTTGATCTACTTTTCCCCCCTTTATTAATTAATTAGTTTACCAACTTGAGAGTTTTAAAATCCTTACATTTACATCGCCTTACATAAGTAATTAAGTACTTTTTTAAATAATTACAAATTAAAAAATTTTCCATTCAAGAACTGGGAGTGATTTTTCTTCATCTTTAATGTTGTTTTTTACTATGACATCATAGACAGCGGGAGATCTATTAAGCTGCATTCACGCACGGAAGTAATATGGGTTGTCCTGTCCATTTAATCCCTTGACGCATAACTTGACTGTGTTTACATTAATTTTGCATCATAAAACCATTTTGAGACGCAATTGCATTAAACCACTTACACGGAGTCGCGCACAGCCTCATGCGTGAGCAGTCTTCACAAACAAAGCGTGCGTCAGCATTTGAAATTGAAAGCAGCCTTCTGTTAGTGAGATTCATATTTTAAATATATAAGTCCACTGCATTCCAAACCACATAGATGACTTCGTAGAGCATTTGAATAGAAAAAAAAAAATACCGCCACGAGACTGCACACTTCAAGTGTAATATTAAACAAAGCGCGCGTCTCTCACAGCGCATCCTGTGCAATGAAGCCCGCGAATGTCCTTGTAATTCGCTTCAACCTTTTCGAACTTTATGAAAGATTATTTTACGGAAGGTTCGAGTGGTGTTTGTGTGTGAGGAATTGGAAGCAAGCCGAATACTATGGCGTTCGGACGGGATCTTTAATATGACGCTGCAACATGCACTCGGCTCACTGAACGTGACGTCTGCGTCTGACGAACGTGACGTCTGCGTCTGCCACATTACTGTTCGTCTGCCTGAACATGAGGTCTGTGTTTGCTGCAAGGGTTTCCAGCACATTCCATACACTTATTTGTGCTTTATTATACCTATTCATTCTCTATTATTGTTTTCACTTATCCTCAATTATGTTTAATTAGCAATTAAGTGCTTTTTACCTTTCTTATGTATAGCTTTTTATTCCAAAAAGTAAATATTTATACAAATGATATAAAAAATTCTGTATGACATTGCTTCTTGTCCACATATCCACAGATACTTATGAAGAAATCATAAAAATAAGTTGTTCTAGCATGTATTCACCACTAGGAGTCTCTAGACCAA